TATTGTAAAGAGACACAATCCACCAAAACCAATTGCTACCACTAAGTAATGAGATGGTGTGCACTATAATGGATAGTGACCATGTAGACCACAGATGCATTAGTTGTAAGTTTACTAGATGACATAACATACGTAGATATCCAATTGGATTCAGTAAAAATAAGACATGACCTATGATGTAAAAGAGAATTCTATGTAATCATCATCACTCAATTATTTTAACAAGATCAACGTTTCTTAACAATAATTATTGTAATCCCTTCCAAGACGGTTTTTATAGGGCCAAATTACCGGATAGATCATTATATACCTAAATATGCGATTATTCTAGAAAACAACCATCAATTTAGTAACCTGTGAAGATTTAGAGCCACAACTTTGCATATAAACAAACACTACATTTGATTTTAGCTCAAATACCTTGAAGTGGATGAATGTCAAAATAGACAACGTAAATAGGACAAAGAAACTTGAGAATATATCTCAACTAAAATATCAAGAAAGTTGGGATAGTCCACTCGACTAACAAGAAGGTTCTAAACTAACAATTAACTAGGTAATGTTTGGAGGAGGTGATAAAATAATTATTTGTCCTTCAAAAAAAATTATAAAAAAAAAAATCAGACATACATCATGAACTTTATGCATATGAAAATAAGCAAGGTTCAAAATTCGATGTACCTTTCGGCTTTCACAGGTTGATAATGAATAACCACTTATTGGGACGTTATGCTCAAAGTCCAACTAATGACATGTCAAAATGAAATAGGTTGTATGTAGTAATATTTTATCTGTACCCAATGAGAGAACGTGCAGATTTGTAACACCTAATATTTGCGAAGATATCCTTATACCTTTTTAGCTAATAATCCAATAATACAAATAATCAACCAAAGATTTTTTCTAATACAACGACAAAAATACATCGGATCAGAATTTTTAACATGATAACGTAGAGTATGATCATCAATAATGCATTACAAAGGATTTTTATATATCTATTCTTCATAGATATATAAAATATCCACTAACTTTAAGCTATTATCGCCAAAATGAGTAAATATGTATATAAGTATGATATTACATGAAAGGGTAAAATTAATATGATATTAAACTCTACCTATGTATACATGTATATAATTATAAAACTGATGGTAATAAAAAGTAAAAACATTAATGAATGAATGAATTAAATTAATATTTAAATCCTGCTTTGACAGGAATACCACCGTTACGCACCCAAGATTTTGCATCCATAAAGGGGTCAGGGGTAAAATAGCCAGCATATTTCTTATCTTTAATGACCTTAAATCCTTTCCATTTGACCCTATCATCGGTGTCAGAGCCAGGTCCCTTGTTGTAAAACTCTCTGAACATGCACGTCTTGTGATTCTTTGTTTCAAGCCATGTGCTCCATCCTTGTGGTTGAATGAGATCGCCAATGTTGCATTGCATCACCACCGCTGTAGCATCTGGCTTCCATGGACGACCGAGGTAGCTCTTGGTTTCTCCCTTGACCGGATCTAGTTCTTTGTCTGCTTTGATCTTACACTTCTGAAGCACTACACCTGCAGCTTCTACATGTTTCATTTTCCCGTCTGCTGTAATATAACAGCTTTGGCCATTTTCTGGTTTCCTAATATAGATCTCACAATCTTGGAAGAAAGCCCTCCCGCTTCCGGTGATAAAGTCCACAGTTCCATAGATGGAACAATTCTTGTAGAACTGGTCGTGGGCATGATAGTATATAGTGTTTTGGTAACCTTCAAAGCTACAATCCACCATGATAGTATTTGGGGCTTGGGATCGAAATGCCACTGCTTGGTTCCCTTCTGGACCGGCCGTGTTTCTAAATCCTATACCTCTTGCCATGAACCGTTCGCCTTCAGCAACAAAAGTTGCGGTCTGGGTGGCGCCGGTCTGTCCTTTTTCTTGGCTCTTGTCACCGGTGATGATGGTCTTGTCACGACCATCACCATACATATAAACATTGCATTGGTTCTTTTTCACAACGATCTGACCCTCCTTATAAGTTCCGGCCTTGACATATATGAAATATCTTCCTTTGTGATTTGAAGGATACCCATCAAGGGCCTGTTTGATGGTCTTGAAATCACCGCTACCATCTTGAGCCACCACCACATTAGGTGTCAAGGTTGATCCTTTTTTAAGCTTTTTAAGTTTTTCAGGTTCAGGAGTTTTGAAGTAGTCTTGGCTTGTGTATTTTTTAAACATCCCATGGCATTTGTCTTTGTCTTTGTCTTTGTCTTCTTCTTCATCATCCTCGTCCTCGTCGTCGCCACCACCACCGAGAAGGGTACGGTCCGCAGCAGAAAACCGAACGGGACCCTCATCCTCCTCATCAAGATCAAGAAGCCTGCGGTGTCCTGCGTAATGGAAATTACCCATGTCAACCCCAAACTCCATGAGGATATCAGAGATATAGTAGACGATCTTTTGGGTATTAAAGGTGTGCTTGTTGGCATCGTCTAATTCCTGTTTCATTTCCTTTCTGAGATTTTCGTCGTTGATCTCATCGACACATGTGGTTTGGTATGCACGGATAGCTGTGAGCCACACAAGCATGGGGTCGGCTTGCTCTCCCAAAGTCACTATTTTGCTCTTCGTTGCCACATTAAGAACCTGATTCAATGCTTCTGAGGCGTCACCTAATAGTTTCTCACAGTTCTTAAGTTCCGAGCCACCAGACTTGGCGTACTCAGAAGCCTTATCAAGGCCCTTTTGGATGCTATGGAAGCTAGCAAATATGTAATCCTTCTTGGTGGACGACGAGTTCTTGGACACCTCGCTTAATGCCTTTTTGCATGCGTCTTTGTACTCTGTTGGTTTACATATGATGCAGAATGCCTTGGTGTTTATCAGCTCATCATCCTCCAAATATCCATTTCTAGCCACCAAAGCCACGATACAAAGAATAACAACAATCGAGAACCCTAATGATAACACGGCTTGTATTAAATGATTAGCCATCTTCAATTCAAATAATATATCCTCTTACTTATTATTATTAGTATTGGGGACAAACAATAACCAAAAAGATTTGCTTGTTCCGCATGCATCAATGGAACAAGCAAACTTATTGAAGATGGAGAATGAGAATGAGAATGAGAATGAGAATGAGAATGAGAATGAGGTTCACTTCTATTTTTTTCCCTCGATTTGTATCCTTTTCTCCTATCAAATTTATTTATTTCAAACGAATGAAGCATGTGCTAGAGAGGATAAATCTTATGTATTTTGCTACTTTTCCTAAAAACATTGAATGTATATTGCAACTCTTCCTAAAATTAGCAATGGCCGTACGTCCTTCTCTTTAGTTTTTCATCAACCCTTAAGCATCTCCCCTTTTTATGCTCTTCCATATACCATTTCGAGGCCACTTCTTTTCCATTTTATTATTAGTTTCACCTGCATCCATTGGAATATATGATTGTTTTAACTAACTAATTAAAATTAGTAACAAAATTTTACATTTTTTCCTCTTAGATCACTCCAACTTCGGGTTATATATGAAGATTACTAATTTTGGAACTACTCATTAAATGCTAATCATCAACTTATTTGATTTGTGTCTTTTATATCGATATCTTTATACGTAATCATATTCGTTATTGATGGACACCAACATAAAGAATGAAACTGTAAATACTAATAGCTAGGCATGTTCACCAAATTGCAAAACAAATGAAAGGATAAATAAAAGTTTTTAATTCTTAATTATAGCTAGCATAATAAGTGAACTTATAATAGTCAATTGTATATATATTGATCAAGCAACCTTTTTCTATTAGTTGGAGTTTGTAAAACATGCATATCGTATGTTTCACCTAATCAGGTTTAATAAATAATAATTTCCCTATAAATATCTTCAGAACAACAAGATAGGCAAAATTCAGATATTTACGCCTCTTTTTTCATTTATTTATGTCAATAAGAACTGCAGCAATCAAATATCTAAATTCTCATGCATATAATCTTATGAATATTTATATATACTTAAACCAACAACTTAAGGACACATAAGTTCAAAGACAATTATTTATGTCTAAATGTACGTAGCTTAATTAATCGCTAATTACCTAAGAATTGCGATAAGAAAACATAAGAAACCAAAAAAATATACAAAAATTTATAAAATAAAAATATTGACAGCAATTGTTTTAATGTAGGAATAATAATTCAATTTTTGTAATTTTCTAAAAAAAATAACAAAATAAAAATAGCAAAAGTACAAATGATAGAAAAAGAATATATTCGCGTTTGTGAGATTATCCATGCTCTATATATCGTTTCCTTCGGTTAGTTCACCATTTCATCTTCATCAACACCATTCTTTTCGAAACACCCTCTATCTCCTCCGGCCGGCGGCGACATGAAATTACGTTCATATCTTTCCACCTGCTCCGCCACCATCTGCACAGCTACTGACGACGACACGACCACCATAACACATCGACAAAAGTATGGAGCACCGCCAGGTAAACTCCTATTCTCCGACACAAGCAGTAGCATCTCCGATACTACCACCACAGCCACCAGTCCATCCCTCGACACCAGTTACAGTTACAGCAGCAGCCTCCACAGCAACCTCTCTCTTCAAACTCTACCCTCCGTCCCTTCCCTCCAGAAACTCTCCCCTGATACTCTCAACCTCGCCGTCTCCCATGGCTACCTAACCTCCCTCAAACCCTCCCCACCCGGACGAGTCAACTACCTTGCCGTCCATAACCACCTCCTCTACGCCGCCTCCGGCAACCTCATTCACGTATTCGATACGGCATCATTCGCGCTACTGGATGTCTTCAGCGTCAACGACTCTTCATCTGGTTCAGTTAAATCTGTTGCGTTTCACAACGGAAAAGTTTTTACTGCTCATCAAGATAGTAAGATCCGAGTATGGAAATTAACAGAAAACAAACGTCACAAACACGCCGCGACGCTGCCGACGATGGAGGATCGGTTGCTGAGATCGGTTTTAAATAAAAATTACGTGAATGTCCGTCGTCATAGACGGCGGTTATGGATCGAACACCACGACGCCGTCACTGGACTAGCGATGATAGATAATCAGCTAATGTGTTCGGTTTCATGGGATAAATACTTGAAAATCTGGAAAACTTCAAACTTCCGATGTGTGGAGAGTATCAAAGCACACGACGACGCAATCAACGCCGTCGTGGTGGCAACAGACGGCACTATTTACACCGGATCCGCCGATCGCCGGATTAAAGTATGGGGGAAACTGTTTGGCGAGAAGAAACATGGACTCATTGCCACGTTGGAGAAGCACAAGTCAGCTGTCAACGCACTTGCTCTAAACGACGTCGGATCAGTGCTGTTTTCAGGCGCCTGTGACCGGTCAATCTTGGTGTGGGAAAAGGAAGACAGTGCAAACCATATGGCGGTGACCGGAGCGTTGCGGGGCCACAGTAAAGCAATACTTTGTCTCATCAACGTCTCAAATTTATTATTCAGTGGGTCCGCTGATCGAACGGTTAGGATTTGGCAACGTGGGTCCCACGGCAAGTTTTGTTGTTTGACTGTATTGGACGGGCATACAGAGCCAGTCCGATCGTTGGTGGCGGATACAGATTCATCAGAAGAATCTGTATCTGTATCAACAGTAACAGTGTTTAGCGGAAGTTTTGCGGGTGAAATTAAGCTATGGAAGGTTGAGGTCTCGAATATTGCAAGTCCGATGTCAAGTCATCTATCTAAACTCAGACCATGATCATAAAACCGTCTTCGTTTTGGTTATGACATATTATCATTGTGTGTAATTTAAATACAAAAAAGTTTGAGAATTGTTTTGGGTTAATTTAGTTTTTTACATGTAGAACGAAGAACTGGAAACCGGATGAGATGTACATAATTGGTGATTATTTTTTATGTTACCGATTAATGAATTGTTTAATTTTTGTATTTAAGGTTTTGTTTTGGGTGAAATTGACAAGAGTTGATTAAATATCACGTGATTTCATGTTACCTTTGTTCTTGTTTGAATACCCAATTTTCGAGTCATTTTGCTAGCCTCTAGATGTCACAACAATACACATACATAATTTCAAACATGTACATACATGTATACATAAACATTATATTATATTATATACTAAATTAGACCGAAGTGCATGAATATGACATGGGATTATGAGAAATAAATCTATAAAAATGATAATTTAGATTTTGATTAATTAATTAATTAATCACTAATGTCGGAAGTGATTGGAGGAGCGGAAATAATTATGTGTGTAGGATATGATATGTAGAGTGCACTCAAACTCGTATAGTAGTCTACACCTTGCATGTATTTAATATAATGTTACGTGATTTTCTAAGTTATATCTTCTTGATAACAACCATCAAATTTTGGACTTATTGTAAGTTACAATAAGCATTGTTCATGTTATAAGCTGATACAACTAGTGATGCTTATTGTACATTGTATAATAAACATTAAGTAAATTACCTTTTCGTCCCTTGTGTTTGCTTTTTACTTACATTTGAGATCCGAAAACAAGATCCAAAGTTTCAAACCATACGCAAGAATGAGACAAATGTAGCATAATATAATGTTTTCAGATTTAAAATTCAACTAAGTACGTAATAATTATATATACTTTATGATGTTTATTTAATTTGACGACCTAACTACGAATTTTCACATATTTTAATGACTGGCTATTACATTGATAGTAAGTAAATATTATATCCCGTACTAATGGATGTGGATATTATTATTATTCCCGTTTAAATATAAATTCAAATTGTTTTAGCAAACGATCATAAAGAATGAGACAAATGTAGCATAATATAATTGTATGATATTGGTATAAAAGCCACAAATAATGGAATTAAATAAATACACACACTTCAACACATAAATTGAGCAACTTGTCATGTGGAACATCTTTCATAAGTCAACAAACCTTAAAGATTTCCCATTTGCTTTTTAGGGCTATATTTTCAAATCTAAAAGCCTGGATTTCGAAAAATATAAATAAACATATGTCATTAAAATAATATTATAACAGGTTTACTATTATTTCTTTGTATTCAACTCAAATTAGTCAACACTGTATGGAATAATACATATACAAACTTAATCAGTTAATTAGCAAACTAAAGTACATAAATAGTTTTGAACATTTAAAGATACATGACTATGCATAAAATTATTATATACCTAATTTTATGACTAAACTTATGTTATTTGATTACAAACTTTTTATATGTTCGTGTTCCACTGTTGCTAAACTTTGTTGTTCAGATTATGTTTCCTAATTTCTTTTCTAATGTTAATTATATTTAAGTTTGTTATGCATATACATTACTACTACTAAAAACACAAATTAAAATTAAAATTTTCTTTATTTTAAAGCAACTCTGAGTATAGTTGTATTTTACTGTCATGTGCTAGTAGGGGTTTTATATGTATGGTCAACCATCAATCATGTAATCGTGTATTAGACTTTTAGTTAGAATTTATTCAAGCGGTATCATAAATTGCATGTTCTTTGACAAAATATGTTATATGACATGGTAGGGATATGAGACCATAAAATATTAGGAAATTATCAAATGGGAACCGAAACAATTACATTATATTTAATAAATTATAATTATATTTAATCAATTAAATGAATAATATCATCATGTAATATCTTGATATTAATTATGTCAAAACCCTCCAAACTTATTTTTAAAAACTTAATTATAAACCTCTAATATTTTATGTCGATCATTTATATAAAACTATGAGTTATTATATAAAAACATTATGTTTTATGCATAAAAATAAATAAAAGTTTTCATTTGGTATTAACCATTGGTTTAGATTATTTATTTCACAACTCATTTGTATTTTTTTTTTCTTTTTTTGCATTTCACTTGAATGTTTTTTTTTTTCTCTTTTCAAAAACCTCAATATTGAATTTTCATAACACATTATCGATAATTACTACTAATGTACCAAAATTCAAATTTATGTTTAAACCAAATATTCATTAAAATCATATACAAATACTAATATGTTTCTACTTGTCATTAGTGATTTTTTAGAATATTATTAAATCACAACAATTTTTATAAAAAAAATTAAGACAAAACTGCAAAAATGGTTCATTCGTGTGGTATGTATATATATTTTTTTTTCTGAGGTTTAGTCAAAACCTCAACTTTTATAGATTGGTGATCCTTTTGAGTATGTTTTTATGTGGCTTTAGTCTATGACCAAACTTAAAAGACTATTATACCCTTCGTATACTTATATTTCATTTTTCTTTCATTTTATTAAATTATTATTGTTATTTAATTTAGAAAATGACCCCCACACACACAATAACACCACCCACCGTTATCTTCCTATGTTCACCTGTTATCACCAACACAACCTTTTCCCTTTAGAATTTTTACAAAACAAAAAGTTGCATCTTTTGAGGATTAAACATACACACACACACACACATACATCTAGATGCTGTGACAACCCGAAATTTCTATCTTGTACAGTTATTCAAATCAATCAAAGTCAGACTCGTTTCTGCTACCTTCTAACATTGTTTTGAGTCAAATTGAGTGTTCTAAACCTAGTATCTTCAAGTTAGAGTTTAGATTTGGGTTCCGCAAGTTCACCTCGACCCAAAATTGGCCAAACACCCCTCCTCTGGCAGCACACTCTCATCTATAAAGTAAAGGCTTGGCCTTCATTCAACCCTTTTCACCTTCCTAGTCAAGAACTCATTCTCTCTCAAGTAGCATCCGATTTTCCAGCTAGATCTTCAAGTGGTAAGTGTTTCTTTCCTTTGATTTGTTGATTTCTTACTCCATCTAGTAAAGATCACTGATTTCATCCATGAAATCACTCCTTTTTAGTAGATCTTCAAGTGTTCTTCAATTTCACCAAGAACACCTACTAAGTTCTTAGGCTCCAAACACCCCTAAACGCTTCTATATCGTAAGTACCCTTATTTAGCTTGTTACTTGCTAGATATGAGCCTTAGAAAACGTCCAACCCATGATCATCAAGGAGTATGCGGCCGCACACACCTATTGTGGCCGTACACCCCTTTGTTTAGTGCTTAAGGGCCTCAAACTCCAATGGTATGCTAGCACATGATCAAGGACACTTAGGGGATGCAAGATATAACCTTGGAATACACTTTTTGACCATTTTTCCTAGGAGTGTGCGGCCGCACACTCCATGGCCGCACACACCAGGCCGCACACCCAAGAGGCAGGACACCTGGTGGCCGCACACGCACATGTGTGGCCGTACACCCATTATATGCAACCTTTGGTGCTTCTAACACTTCAATCTAAGTGTTTTCTAAGTCCTAGGGTGTTTTCCTTTCATGATTAGTTGTATAAAGACTAATTATATACATATATGTGCCAATGTATGCTTATTAGGATCCGTTGTGCTCAAGTCTACACCTGGCACTTAGCATCCTACAAACAGATCTTTCATTCATACCACTCACTGCAGGTGAGTTCATGCCCCTTTAACTTACCTTTTAAATGATTTTATGGGGGGGGGGGGGAATACAAGTAGAAACATTATAGTTATTATATCAATCGCATGTGATTAATAGCTAT